TGTTACAGTGAATCAATCTTAATGAAAGTTTCGGACATTTTTATATACATTATGAAGATTATGTGAAGAGATTTTGAAAAAATTCGTTCGAGTCGTTTCGGAGATATACAAGAAAGCGCTAAAAGTCCAAATTCTGAATGAAGTTGCACTTATACAGATGGTGAGAAAACAGGTTAGATTTCAATATCGCATGAACGAAAGTACACCAAAATTTCCTAGCATCAAAACATGATATTAAGCATCATTCTTACGCTACTTAAGAATAATTTGAGTCATTTATAACGTTTTTATTGCATAACCTATCACGGCTATTGAAAATTTAAGGTTTGAAATATATTTTCGTTTTATTCGAATTCAAACATACAGAATTTTTTACTTCTTACGGAGATTGTTTGCTAAACACCAAACTTTAAGTTCCTAGTGTTGGATTTTCAGTAGCAGGTCTAGATCACACAAAATTCGGCTTTTATCAATTTCAAAGTTTTTTTTTTATTGTTGTCATAGTAATATCGATTTTACTTAAAACTACATTTTCACAAATTTCAATCCATAGCCAATTACTGGTGAAAATTTTATAGCGATCGGACAAGGAAAAAACTACTTTTAAGGCGATTGAAAAATATCGGTATGGCCTTTGAAAAACTGTATCGAAACACCTTAAAGCATTGATATTACATGGACTAATTTGATGATGATCATTCTTAGGACTGACAACGTTAAGAAAAAACGATCCAGATAAGTAAAGCAGCAGAAAATTAACTTCCTGTATGATCTGCGTAATTACTAACCTTTACTTTTGTTTTCAGAGTAAGAGGATGAGCGAGACGTCTTTTAGTTTTTGAATCTATAAAACAAACATGAGGAGAGTATAAATAAGGCTTAGGGCTGACGCAAAGAATGAACACGATAACAGAGGAAAACAAGTCCTTAAACAAACACAGTCGCATTACCCAACTCGTCCTTCATATTTTCCACAGCTGAAGTTTCAACCACCTCTTCAATGGGAAAAAGTAAATCATCAGACTCGGCGCCATTAACGGAGTTCTGAGAAGAACGCGAATGAGCTTAAAGGCAATCAGAAAAGTGCTATCAAGCAGTGATGGTTTCAAGTATAACGATAGATGAGCCAAATCAAAACGCTACTTCACTACTCGGCCAAATACCTCATTGAAACTTTTCACTGCTCGGCCAAGTTACGGTGAGATGATTTGGCGTCACTGTAACTTTCGAATCTCTAAGCAAAATTCTATGGTGGTGTTAAGTTTCTATACAATGAAATTTCCCGCACTGTTATTGAGGAAAACCCAGTTCATAAAAACAAGTTACACAAAAAACGGGTGTTTCTTGGTGTTGAGGATATGGAAGTTAATATCTTAGGTGACGAATTACTCCTTAATTTTGACGGGTTACTTTATAATCTCCCACGTAAAATTACAAAATTGCCATAGTAACCTTCTGTACGTCTCAGTGCCAAGATGGCGACGAAGTTTTAAAATGTTACGAGTGAAGACGTCAGGGCATTAAAAGATGCTTTAGAAACACTAAACACATGAAAAAGCACATCAAGAAGGATTCTACCGGGTACTTTGCCGAAAAATTCTGAAAATTCTCAACTTAAGCCAGATTTAAGCTCTAAACGTTTGAGAGAGTGGAGTTCTCGATAGATACGATCCAGGATAAACATGTCAAAAATCCTTGAGTGCTAACGTAATTCTTCCCCCGTGATATTAATAGATAATCAAATGGTATACTCATGAAATTAGGGAATAATTTCAATCGTCACCATTAATTCGCTAATTCGCTTTTGTTTTGTGGTGTGGTTATTGTGCAGTGTCTCTTTAATATTTTCTATTACGTCATTTGGTGATTGCATACGTCCGCAAAAAATACAAAATATCTTGAATGACGTATGTAGAATTCCCCCGTCCCCCACCCCACCCGAGTGGATGACACCCTGGTTTACTACTAGGTTACGAAGTTTAATACTTTCACTATGAGTAGCAGGCTACTTACATCTGTCGCAAAGAGATCTTTTCTGCTTGGATGTGTTTTCTTCTTCTGTTTCTTTGTCCTCTACACAAACTGCCACACCCGTCACAGCCACCTACTCCACAATGATTTCAAAATAACAAAGGAATTACATGTTATTGGTTGCGTACTACTGTAATGAAGATTGTTGGCAAATGTCGTTAAGGGAAGGGAACCCAGGCTAAATTAGCTTCAGTTGTGCTGCATTGGTTGACACTGAACATGATTAAGAAACAGGCATTCCTTCGAGGAAAGCTCAATAAGCTTACTTCATCCAGTTTCTTAAGCGAGTAAAACAAACGAGAAACTTCTTATTTGCCTACCTGAATGTTATCATCCTCTGGGATCTCAATATCAAAATCAATATTTGAAAGACAGCAGGGTGACATGTTACGCAGTTTGAACCACAAACTCTGAAAAACATGGAAAATGTTGGGATCATAGTCAAAAAAAGACAATCTAAGCAATTAGACCTGACCCACTGCAAATCTAAACTAAGGGTACTTCACATAAATTGTCCTCTCCCGAATTACAAAATTTACAGCAATCTCAACATATTTACAAATGAGGAAACACTTACAAAGCTAAGATAAGATAAGATAAGACTAAGCAGTGCAAATGTAAACTTAATGTACTGTCACATGATCTGCCCTGTCCCGAATTTTAAAATTTAAAGCAATTTCAACATATTTACAAATGAGGAAACACTTACAAAGCGAATTTGACTATTTCCCAGGTCCTTTTATCAGCCATTTGAGGTTGAACGTGAAACTGGGTCGGCAATGCGTCGAATTGCATTATGGGACTGTTTTGGGAACGCTATCACTTATTTTATCACTACACTATCACTTATTTTATTATTTTTTAGTACACTCGGTTCAAATTTGCCCGCCAAATCATACCCATAGTCATATTCCGTGGTGCTAATTAGCATGTGTAATTAAATGGTGACGAGTGAAATTAGGGAATAATTTCACTAGTATACCATTTGATTACCTATTAATATCATGCGTAGCGAATTACGTTAGCACTCGAGGATTTTTGACATGTTGATCCGGATATCGTATCGATCGAGAACTCCACTCTCTCAAACGTTTAGAGCTTAAATTTGGCTTAAGTTGAGAATTTTCAAAATTTTTCGGCAAAGTACCCGGTAGAATCCTTCTTGATGTGCTCTTTCATGTGTTTAGTGTTTCTAAAGCATCTTTTAATGCCCTGGCATCTTCATTCATAACATTTTAAAACTTCGTCCCCATCTTGGCACTGAGACGTACGGAAGGTTACTATGGCAATTTTGTAATTTAATATGTGAAATTATACATAAACGCTGAAATTTCGCGCCAAAATTAAGGAGAAATTCGTCACTTATGATATTATACTTTTAAATTTCTTGACTTTCCTGTGGCAACCATAAATAACACGACAGATTTACACAGAGAGCGTGGTAAAAGCCAGCACAGACTTACCTTAATTGTGTCCTCAAAGAGTTTAGCAAATTGCTGGTTGGTTCGAATGTCTTCATCGCTGAGTGCTTTTCTCTGTACTGCCATTATCATCTTTAAAAACAATTCACATCAAGGAATTATGCCACCTTAAATAGCAGCTGTCACCAAAGACATCTTTTGCAACTGATTATAGCTAAGAAATGGATAAATCAAATACATTTTGTGTACCTTAACTCCAGATTTAAGGCTGATTGCGCCAGGAAGGGTTTCAGTGTTGCACGAATGAAAACCTTGGGAGAGAAATTTTAATTATTAAAATTATGCTCCAATGTGCACCTTTAATAAATTAAACCTCAAAGCTGACCTTCCGGCGCTGGTTCATCGAGTAAAACAGCTACCACATCTTCGTCTTTCTTGTCATCAACCTACAAAAAAGTTATTCCCGTCAAACTTCTGTCAGTAATATTGGGCCACTTTTGCTGTGCTCAAAAGAACTGAAAGTTGCCTCTTTCATTTCATTTTGAGGGAGATAAGAGATACAGGGTACTTTAACAATGCACTGCCGTATTTCCTCGAAAACGCCCTCCTTCTCTCCGCCACACTTTCTTATATAGTAGGAACGCGAAATATACCTGTTTTCTATTGTTACTTCATTTAACATTTGAAGCTTCAACTACAGCGGAATCCGTTCATGTAGGAAAACAGTTTCTTTTTTGACCATTCTTCTTTCAATAGTTTCGTTTACATGAACAATGATGCAAGGTTTTTTTTTCATATGAAGTTTTCGCCAAAATCTAGGTTATAAACACGATTATTTTAATTGAAGGAGGTAGGTAGCCCTCTCCTGATCGTAAAATGATAAAACTTCTAACCGTTGATAACTTGTTTTCGACACTTAACGACATGCTCGTTAAAACCCGTAGTAGAATGACGACGGCTATCATAGGCTATCGCGCTTTCCCGCCAAAACGACGCTGGTTCATGCGAGCGCACCACTTCAAATTGATAAAATATCGTCCTCTTAGTCGTCCTCGCCTTACAATCTAAACGTCTCTGCACAAAGAGATGTACCTCTACAACATAGGCATCTTTTGGCCCCGTACACAAATCCAGCTCAGCCTTGGGCCCCTCATCCTGATCCACATCAGCAGTGATCATAGCAGGGACATTCTGGGATGGACTTAGCGGGGGTGTGGCCTTAGGGGTACTCTGCGAAAAAGATACACATTGAATACCAGGAAAAAGATGAAAACAACGCTACGATCTAGCAAGAGAATTCAAATGATTCAGGTAATCGTCATTTATTTTGGATCTGAACAGAGCCCTTTTTGTCCTGAGTGGCTAGTTAAAAAGGAAAAGAAAAAAAAAGAAAAATACAGTTATAACCCGCGTATAAGAACCTAAGTTTTTCCACGCTAGGCTAAAAAGGTTCTTGCAAAAATGGTGCTAACTGGAAAATTAGGCTACTCAGATTCTCATTATAAACAAAATCAAGAGAGAATGAGCAACAACCAGTTGCAAAAATGTTGAAACACTCTCACGAAAAAACAACCTGTCTTGCTTCAAATCGCAGCTAGTCACAGGTCTGTGAGATAAAATACTGAGCTCCCTCCTCCCCCCATTCAAAGTTGTTTCTCCAAGTTTTGAGCATGGTCTTGTATTGCTACTTTGAAAAGGGGTGGAGGGGGGGTCACACGCACAAGATCATGGACAGGCCATTGAAGCCAAAATACAGTACAGTGTATCAAGTACTTTTGCAACTGGTTGTAGCTCACCCTATCTCTCTCGAAAAAATGAACTAGCCAGACATGGCACAGCCCCTTTAAAGCCTTACCAAATATTTGCTGTTATGAAAAAAAGAATTTACTTACTATATGGACGGTATCTGCAAGTCTAAAGCTGGCTCTGTTCTTGTTAGTTGTGTCCACGATTTGCCTCTGGATCTCAGCGAGACGCTTATCTTCTTCAGCAGACAAACGCTGTATAAAGAACAGGAAATAATGTCATAAATTGTTATATAGCTGGAATTTTTTTCCCAACAGCGCGCGCCCTCTTGGTTATTTCGAAGTCATATGACATCTAACAATGAAACTGTTTCCCGCCAAAATCTCTGAGCGCGCAACATTGCAAAATCTATACCGCGAATGTTGACCGAAGGCCCCCGTTAAAGCGAGATTTAATGAATTTTCAGCTTCAAAATTTCCAGCTGTATAACAAATCACTTAAAGAATGGTCCCTCGGAAAACGGTTAATTTTGTTTTTTAGAAACTCACTGCTTTCCCGAAGGAGGGAGCCCCGGGACACATTGATATTCTCCGAAAACAAAATTAACTGTTTCTCTTGGGACCAGTCACTAAGTGTTTATTGCAAAGTCACAAGCTTCTTGGTTCCTGATTGACTTCAAGTAATCCTCAGTATCGAATAACTCACCCGTCCAGTAATCTTTAGCAATGGAGGGGCAGGTAGGGATGCCAAGAAAACTGCTGTAGATGACTGCAAGAAAAATTATAATTTTACAATGATTGAGCAGTTCGTCGAGCGCTAATTAGTAGAGAGCTATGGTAGATAAGAGAACAGCCCATGGAAATGTCGTGATGATTTGTTCTTCTCTATCTTTCGGTTGAAAAGTAATAGTGAAAGTGGATCAACCTAACAATATTGCCTAGTTCCTAGGCCTCATTATTCTGTGAGGACAAAGCGTTTCAGGTCACGTGGTCGGATACGTCACCGAAATGAATTGTCCGAGAGGGACTGGGAAAACGCCGTACAGGGACTAGGCAACTAATAATACAGAAGCTGATCTGTAAAGTTAAATATATAGTTTATATATAAGTCAGAAGAAGATTAAGAGTTAAGGTAATGACATTGGTGGCAGATACGGGAAACAAAACAAAATAAGTATGCAAATATTATCAAGTTTTCATTTGCCTAATATTACAAAGTATTTGGAGAACTTCCACACAGTCATCTGTTTTCTGAAGAATCTCTAGGAGAAATTGTTTCAGAGAACCTTCAACGGAAATGGACGTCAAGAACTGTCCATCTTATTGTAAGTAAAAAACAAAACAAATCGACAACAATTTTCTATGGTCTATACTCTTATCGACCATAGAAATGACGGAAAATCACACGCTCTCCCTCGCCCGCGGCTTGTGGTTTCACTTGAGTGTTGACCATTTGACATCGTTTCTAAGGTCGATAAGAGCGCAGACCATGGGTAAATTCTTGTAGATTTGGTAACAATAATTTTATTACTTCGCATATGCGTATGATCAAATGCGCGTACACTAAGCAGTGATGAATTGCACTGACTAATTGCTGTTTTCTTCCTGAATGAGATGAAAAAGAATTTATTAACACGAAAGTGTTTAATGTTTGCTACGTATTTACCATAAGGGGATTTCAAAATTTTTTTCTGGGAGATATGTTGTACTCCAGGGGTTGTATGTTAGAAGGGTTTGGGTGACTATATGCGCCTCCTAGGCCTCAGAATTTGTAGCATGTCAAATGATACCCCTTTCAAGAAAAAATACCACATATTTTCTCCAGTTCCAAAATCCTGACGCCATTGGACGTTGCATAGGTGTATTAAAGAAAAGGACCCTCCTCAAGGCCTATTTGCTCTTTAAACACAAAACAGCCAGGAGCAGGGATATCCTGAGTGAGTTAAACAATAGAAGGTGTGAACAACGCAACACTGAGTCTAGACAAAGCCTGTTCTAGGCATTCAGATTGTGAGCTAGCTCACCCTCTCACTGTTTTTCATGCTCGCATCCTGGAACAGGCTAATCTAATCACTGAAGGAGAACTAAAGATCATTAAGGATTGTCAGGGAAAAAGGAAGAGAGACCAGTCAGCACTATCTTATAAATATAAACACTTGCAAAGGAAAACAACGCGCGTGATTTTGACATTAATTCACACGGCAGAGCTTACCGCTGTTCCAACAATAAGAGTTTCTCCCACAGATATCTGAAGGTGAAGTCCAAAAAGTGCATTCATGCCTTTAACCTGTTAGATCAAATGTGGAAAAAGAGTTTAACATTAAGGGCAGGCACACCTTTGGGTCAGTACTTTCAATAATATCCTTAGGAATGAGCTCATAACAGTATTTTTAACTTAGCCAAGTACTACTATCAAATTTTGGCATTATAACTTTAAATCTATCGATTTAAACTATGTCAGATATACAAAGGGTAAGGTTAAGTTTGGTATGCCCTCCCTAAGAATTAAAGGTGAGAATCAAGTCACTATGGCGACCAAGGTTCGATAACCACCTTCGAAAAAGTTTTACTTATGTTTCCTTTATCATTTTTATTTTGGACAAAAACTAGGCAGAGATTCAATCAATTCCGAAGTTTATCATTCTCAAGTGTATATGAATTTTCTTTTGAATGATGCCACACATTTGACATCTGAATTTGAATGCATATTGTGAAGGAAGCCAATGAAAATAACTGCAAACATGACAACTTGAAATCCAAAAGGCACACTTTAATCAAACATACTTGATTAAGAAATAATAATGCCTTACACAGAGATTATAATACTCCTGAAATTGTATCTTGAACTAACATCTGCATCTCAATAAAACTGCATTATCTCTCCAGTTCTGGTGTCACATACGGGTTTGTTACCTTGTTGTGGTGATGAAGCTTTCAATTCTTACTGAACCCTACAGCTGTAACACAGGGCTTTTGTTTTATTACCCCTTGTAGGTCTAACCATGCAGGATTTCTTAATGGTTAGAGGCAAGACCAAGGACAGCCCCTGGCCCTATACGTTGGGGGTTTGCAATTGGTGTAAGGCCAATCATGCATCACCATTGTAAAACTTACTGTAAATAATACAGAAACAAGACAAGAAAGAACTGACGATCTTGCCCATCGTTCCGAGAAAACCATTTGATAATTAGATGGAGCATGATTGTCCGGGTGAACGCAGTCCTGAATAGGACAGTGATTGACGTTTCGACAATCTGTGCAGTAGTCGTCTTCAGAATCAAAGTGAGTTGTGTCACGTCAGTTGATGGTATTAAACTCTGGTTATTGACCTGATTGGTCAATTAAGTCGCGAAGTTACTGTTCGTCTGTTAGTCAAGGCGTGATGTTATTGGCTATGAAGACTCGTACTGTCATTGGTGCGTTAAAACAACATTTCATTTGTACATTCACAAAATAATTATGCTCAAAATACAATCTCTTTTTTCAATCTACATATACTAGAGCTCAGGTAGTCTTTTCATGGCATGGGAAAAAGCCATGAAATTGCGGCTACAAAAAAAAACAGAATTTGCTCCTTTCTTTTAATTACATGTTAAGGCAAATTGCTCCCCATTTTCCTCTTCTTAAATTAAAACCTTGTGTATACGTTTCAAGCTAGTAATTTATGACTAAATAAAGGAGAGGCAATTCCTTAAACCTAATTCTTACACTGAAATGAAGTGAAATCTAGTTCTCACTGAGTCAGTCTTTTAAACTCAGGGCCTCGTACCAAAGTTCTCAACTTATCGAGCTGTTGGATCTCAAAGTGCATTTTATGTTGTTCACATCTTCGTCTTACTTTGTTCTCTAACTTTGTTGCTAAGTTCTTGTCACCCTTCGAATCAGCAAGCAATGATTGGCCGTACATGAAGTATACTTTGCTTCTTTCTGCAATTGGCTCACATTGGTCAGCAATGCAGTTGAAAATAGGCCCTGCAGTGTTGACATCTGATGAGTCTAAGATGCCATGTTGGTAAAAGCCTAAATGAAAAAGTGCCCTGCAAAGCTTGGCTTGAACAACTGTCACACTTTTATCGACAGTAGCCTTTTCACAGAAATGAATACATTTATTCAAGTGATGTAAAATGAGTTCATGGTCCTCTTTACTGTTTTTCCCTGATGATAAAATGATGTTGGCTTTTGCATAGCTAACTTCAGCAATGTCCTCATGACACTCTCCAAGGCTCAGCATCATTTCTGCCTCATCTGCCTCTTTCATGGCTTCATCATCTTTACCACGATCATGTAAAATATATGCTTTGCGAATCTTTATTCGGGCATGTAGTACAACTCTGCAAGCATTCAAAAGAAAAGCTAATGACGATAAGAACAAAAAATGCAACAAGTGTATCATTCAACAAAATCACTATGCGACAAACATATTTTTCATCTTTTTCTTGTTCACGCGCTAACTACTGGTACTTAAGAAGTGATCAAAATTGTTGCTATGGACATCATCTATCCACAAAACGTCGCTCAAATAAAGTTCGAAAAATATTGTTTTAATACCTATATACTTTCATTTTTTAAAAAATATATACTTCCCTTTTTCAAAACAGAGTCAGGCGATCTTCGATAAGACTGAAACCGATTTGGTAATAAATAACATGAAATAAAACTGAAAACAGTCATGGCGTGATGGTGTGATGGCGCTGTGACTTATTTTCCCGTGAAGTTTTCGCTTATATTTGTTGTTCAAATAACAAAAATGTCGTAATACATAAGCAATCAGCATATGATCTATTCTTATGTAAATTGCAAGTCAAAACTCGGTTGTAAACATTGTTGTCTGGGTTCAAAATGTACAAAGATTTGCGTTTGACAATTTCTGAATCATAACATCCGAAAATTTAGTCGGGCCATACTTATGTAGGCAGGCGATAATTGGACTGACGCATATTAATTCGCCAAAAGAGCCTTTGGAGCCTATTTAGAACTTGAAACATCTCCATATCTATCTGATTTAACTTACCCATGTTTCGCAGTTAGAGCTTTTGGAATAAGCCCATTCAGCATTTCTAAACTCTCATCCTTTCTCGACTGATGACTGAGTGAAAGGGCAGCTTGAATACCCGCAAACATTTGCATATCTACATCGTCGTTAAAACTTTGTAGAAATCTGTCAAGTTCTTCCCAACGAAAATTGTAGGACATAGTACTGGATTCGTTGATCAGACGAATGTATCTAGCGCTCCGAAAAATCGCGGGTTTCGTGCGTGCGGGCGCCAAGTCAACAGGGCTTGAAAATTCCCCTTCTCTAAGCCTTTCCATTCGACGACAAAGCTTTGCAATGATTTTGCTGTTTTCAGAGTTTGGCAGGTTATCTTCTGTTGTTTCGCTTTTGGTAGCAGATATGTTCAATTTATATTCTAATCTTTCAAGATGCTTTTCAAGCACAAGTAGACTATCGTGATCTTGCTGAAGCAATTCTTTGTACCTCTCGAGATCTGCCGTTACGAATTCTGTCTCGGTCCGCAACGTCTTCAGTTTTTCAACTAAGGGATCTGAGCTTGTCAGCAAGACTTCCACAGCACGTACCACAATATCGACGTTTCTCTTAAACGTTCGCCGAGAAATCGACGGTATACAAGCGTGTGAAAGAGCCGTGTTTCTGACCTCCTTTATATCCTGAATGGCGTCATTTACTAATCTCCAGCGAGAACCAGAACGTATTCCGCTTAAAGCTTGCGAGTGACATAACGCAAACACCAGCGCTGTAACGTCCCATTTCTCGACGTCGCCACACGACAATTGATCTCTTACCGCCTGATGGTATCCGTTGGAAAATACTGGATCGTACAGTCGAGAACTGCTCGCTTGCACTTTTTCTTCGTCGAGCAACTGGGAAACGCTCGTTCCGTCATTTTGCCACGGCGAAGAAGGATAAAGATAGTTCCATTTTTCTTTAAAAACTTTTCTCAACGCACAAGTCGAGCAATCTATTATAGCTTTGGTCAACCTGAAATATCTCAGTTCTGCGTTGCTGTAAACTGTACACATTTTTAAAGAAACCAATCGACTGTGAAGCCAAAACAAAAAAACGGTGTTGTCACGCAGCAAACACGTCTACACTCAAACAAGTGAAATCTTATCTCTTGCGGTCAAAAAAGAGAGGAATACGCAATCTAGCTACGCTTCCATAAACGATATAACACTCCGAAGTGCAATTCTTACTTTTCTGGGAAACCCATGCTCAACAGATAAATATGCAAAGCAGGAGAAGCTTTGCCAAATTCGTTTTTGACACAGGGCCAAAATATTGTTCGAAAGGTCGCACAAAACAAATATTTTTGTATCCTTTTTTCAGGACTTTTTCTTTTTCTTTTCAAAGCTTGGTTTTTACATAATAATTAAAAGAGGGAGAATCAGAATAAAGAGTTTTTCAGACTATCAATAAACAATTAAGTGTCAGTAAAAGCACGAGCAACGATTATACTTTGGAAGGATCACCTTATTTTATGTACATTTTTACATTAGTTATAAATGGTCAACGCGGCAGAGGGATAAATAGTAAAATGTTTTATTAAAGAATAGACTTCAGACGTCTCATCTTTTGAGATGAGAATGGAACCAAGATGAGAAATTAAAAAAGGAATCAAGATGAAACCAAGATAATGAACCAGTGCTCTTATATCACTTTTAAATCGACACTGAAGAAACTCAACTGGGGCTTACGTATCGTTCGAAATATTGTTCATACGTTGCTTGGTATAATTTCTGTACTTTTCCTCTTTGAAAGCGTGGTATTTAGACAAAACTTAGAGAAGCAAAACTAAATTTTGTCTCACAGACTATCGACAAACAACTGTAAAGCAGGTGCAAAGATAATACACTTTGGAGGGATCAACTTATTACGTACATTTTTAGTTATGCACGATGAATTTGACAGAGTCTTCAGCTGTTAAACGTTCTAATCAAACAGAGATATCATTATCAATTGTCGCCTCCAATGTTTCTCAAATTGTTTGTAAAGGGATTCGAAGGAACAAGATTGAAGAGAAATGCTAGCTGAACAACTACTTCTATGAACCGTTTGAAAAAAAAAAACCTAAAAAAAATTACCTCTGTTTTACCCCTTGTAGGTCTAACCATGGAGGATTTCTTAATGGCAAGACTAAGGACAGCCCTTGGTCCTATACGTTGGGGGTTTGCAATTGGTCTGAGGCCAATTTGATCTTGCCCATCCTTCCGAGAAAAGCATTTCATAAGTAGGTGGAGCATGATCGTCCGGGGTGAACGCAGTCCTGAATAGGAAGTTATCTTCAGAGTCAAAGTGAGTTGTATCACGTCAGTTGACGGTATTAAACTCTTGTTATTGACCTGATTGGTCGATTAAGTCCCGAAATTATTGATTGTCTGTCAGACAGGCCGTGATGTTATTGGCTATGAAGACTCTTACTGTCATTGGTGCGTTGAAACAACGTTTCATTTTTATATTCACAAAATGATTACGCTCAAAATACAATCTCTTTCTTTAATCTACATATACTAGAGCTCAAGTAGTCTTACCATGGCATGGGAAAAAGCCATGAAATGGCAGCTAAAAAAATAAGCAGGAATTTGCTCCTTTCTTTTAATTACATGTTAAGACAAATTGCTCCCCATTTTCCTCTTCTTAAAATTAAAACCTTGTGTCTATGTTTCAAGCTAGTGACTAAATGAAAGAGAGCCAATTCTCCCTTAAACCTAATTCTTACACTGAAGTGAAGTGAAATCTAGTTCTCACACAGTCAGTCTTTTAAACTGAGCCCCGTAGCAAAGTTCTCAACATATCGAGCTGTTGAATCTCAAAGAACATTTTATGNAAAAAAAAAAACCTAAAAAAAATTACCTCTGTTTTACCCCTTGTAGGTCTAACCATGGAGGATTTCTTAATGGCAAGACTAAGGACAGCCCTTGGTCCTATACGTTGGGGGTTTGCAATTGGTCTGAGGCCAATTTGATCTTGCCCATCCTTCCGAGAAAAGCATTTCATAAGTAGGTGGAGCATGATCGTCCGGGGTGAACGCAGTCCTGAATAGGAAGTTATCTTCAGAGTCAAAGTGAGTTGTATCACGTCAGTTGACGGTATTAAACTCTTGTTATTGACCTGATTGGTCGATTAAGTCCCGAAATTATTGATTGTCTGTCAGACAGGCCGTGATGTTATTGGCTATGAAGACTCTTACTGTCATTGGTGCGTTGAAACAACGTTTCATTTTTATATTCACAAAATGATTACGCTCAAAATACAATCTCTTTCTTTAATCTACATATACTAGAGCTCAAGTAGTCTTACCATGGCATGGGAAAAAGCCATGAAATGGCAGCTAAAAAAATAAGCAGGAATTTGCTCCTTTCTTTTAATTACATGTTAAGACAAATTGCTCCCCATTTTCCTCTTCTTAAAATTAAAACCTTGTGTCTATGTTTCAAGCTAGTGACTAAATGAAAGAGAGCCAATTCTCCCTTAAACCTAATTCTTACACTGAAGTGAAGTGAAATCTAGTTCTCACACAGTCAGTCTTTTAAACTGAGCCCCGTAGCAAAGTTCTCAACATATCGAGCTGTTGAATCTCAAAGAACATTTTATGTTGATCACATTTTCGTCGAACTTTGTTCTCTAACTTTGTTGCCAAGTTCGTGTCACCCTTCCAATAAGCAAGCAATGATTCACCGTACGTGAAGTATACTTTGCTTCTTTCTGCAATTGGCTCAGACTGGTCAGCAATACGGTTGAAAATAGTCTCTGCAATACTGACATCTGATGAGCTGGGCTCCTCTTCTAAGATGCCATGTTGGTAAAAACCTAAATGAAAAAGCGCCTTGCGAATCTTGGCTTGAACAACTGTAACACTTTTATCGACAGTAGCCTTTTCACAAAAATGAATGCATTTATTCAAGTGATGTAAAATGCGTTCACGGTCCTCTTTACTGTTTTTCCCTGATGATAAAATGATGTTGGCTTTGGCATAGTTAACTTCAGCAATGTCCTCGTGACAGTCTCCAAGACTTAGCATCATTTCTGCCTCATCAGCTTCTTTCATGGCTTCATTATCTTTACCACGATCATGTAAAATATATGCTTTGCGAATCTTTATTCGGGCATGTAGTACAACTCTGCAAGCATTCAAAAGAAAAGCTAATGACGATAAGAAGAAATAACGCAACAAGTGTATCATTCAACAAAGTCACTCATTCTTGTTCACACGCTAACTATACTTTAAGGTGGCTCCGTAATTAATACAAGAGCATTTAGCTGTGACAAATTTTCCGTCATAACTTTTTCGATTTAAACGCGATGGCTGCGAAACTTTGCAAAGAACAAGAGATATCATTCGGCAATAATACGAAATATTCCGATTTCATTGATGCTAAATATTTCTTGAGAAATTAGCGCTTAAAAGTATTTTTTTATATCGCTTTTGTACCGATCTGTATAAACATGTATTGCAGAGAGCTTGCAGAGCAAAACATAATAATCAAGAAAAAAAATACCCATTCATTGAAGGAAGGAGTGACAAAAATTTCAGAGTTGTAAATTTATTCACGGGCGGTATTTTTGCGATAATTTTATTTTGCACTGTGATGTTATTCGGTTCACAGGCATGGGCATCATTGTCGTTCGTCCCCCCTGGGTGAGGTGCGAATTCCTCGCAGAACTGCCGCTCGTGCTCATTTTGTAGTCATAAACAAAGGTGCTGGACAGTTCTATCTGAGCTCTGATACGAGGTAGCGTCCAATCTCAATACTTTTTTCCTGAGTTGGAAGCAACGAACAGCAGTAAAAGTCGTTGAAAATGCATTGCAATACATCAAAATGTATGCAGCAGGAGTTTGAGCCAAAACTGCCAAGGGATATTTTAAAACTGTCGAAGAACAAGTCATTCTACTTCAGAGCAAGGTTTGGAGCAATTTATAGTGCTTCTAAAACTAAAAAGTACCTTTTAAAGAATAGCACGATAGGCAATCGGCTTTTGTTTTAAGAATTAGCAAACGTTGAATTTACTGGTCCCGAAAATTCAAACTGGTGGCTCCTTCTGCCTGATAGTAATTTATTTTTGAAATTCCAAAACAATTTCACAGCTGAATTTTGAGCGACTTTTAGTTACGGACTTCTGCTCCAACGATTTTTCTGAAATTCCTCTGGCATATTTATTATATCAATTAAAGCCGATACCAGAAATTTCAGTAAAAAATATCAGCAAATTTTTTTACTAGACGCGATTTTCTTTGAACAGTAGGGTCCTTTTAAGCGCTAATTTCTCAAGAAATATTTAGTATCAATGAAATCGGAATATTTCGTATTATTGCCGAATGATATCTCTTGTTCTTTGCAAAGTTTCGCAGCCATCGCGTTAAAAACCAAAAAGTTATGACGGAAAATTTGTGCAGTGTCGAAACGACTTGTATCGGAAACGAAAATAAAGCTCGAAAAATATTATTTTATAATACCTATATGCTTTCATTTTCAAAAATAAATACTTCCTTTTTCAAAAAAAAGTCAATTGATCCTCGATAAGACTGAAACCGTTCCGTACGAACTCAGACTGAAAACAGTCATCGCGTGATATGTGGCGTGACTTATTTTCCCGTGAAGTTTTCGCTTATATTTGTTGTTCAAATAACAAAAAGGTCGTAATGCATGAGCAATCAGCATATGATCTATCCTTATGTAAATTGCAAGTCAAAAATCGGTTGTAAACTTTGGGTTCTTGGTAATATGTACAAATATTTGAGTTTGACAATTTCTGAATCATAACATCCGAAAATTAAGTTGTGCCATACTTATGTAGGCAGGCGATAATTACACTCACCCATATTTATTTGCCAGAAGGGCCTTTGGAATCAGTCCATTTAGAACTTCTAAACATTCATCCTTTTTCGATTGATGACTAAGCGCTACAGCTGACTGAATACCAGCAAACATCTCCATATCTACATCATCGTTAAAGCCCTGAAGAAACTTGTCAAGCTCTTTCCAACGAAAATTGTAAGACATAGAACTGGATTCGTTGATCAGCCGAATATATCTAGCGCTGTGGAAAATTGCTGGTTTAGAGCGAGATGGCGATAGGTCAACAGGGTTTGAAAGTTCACGTTCCAGCTTATCCATTCGACGACAAAACTTTGAAATGATTTTACTGTTTTCGGAAGCTTCAGAACTTGACATATCATCTTCTTTTGTTTTGGGCGCAGATATGTTCATTTTGTATTCCAGTCTTTCAAGATGTCTTTCAAGAACAAGAAGACCGTCGTGATCTTGCTGAAGCAATTCTTTGTACCTCACGAGATCTTCTGTTACGAATTCTGTCTCGGTTCGCAACGTCTTCAGTTTTTCAACCAAACGATCTGACCTTGTAAGCAAGTCTTCCACAGCTTGTATCAAAACATCGAAGTTTGCCGTAAACGTTCTCCGAGAAATACACGCTTTAGAAGCGTGTGAAAGCACCGTGTTTCGAACTTTCTTTATTTCATGGATGGCGTTTTTAACTTTTCTCCAATGATAACCAGAACGTACTCCGCTTAAAGCGTGAGAGTAGAACAAAGCGAAGACCAACGTTGTGACGTCCCATTCCTCTAGGTTTCCAAGCCTCAAATGATCTTTTATAGGCTGGTACTCTTTCGAAAAAACTGGATCGAACAGACGGGAATATCGCGATGGTTGTCCTTCTTCCGTAAGCATCTGTAAACCACTTGTTCCGTCATTTTGCCACGGCGTAGAAGGATAAAGATAATTCCATTCTCGTTTAAAAGCTTTTCTCAACGCACAGGTCGAGTGATCTATTACACCTTTGGCCAATCTAAAATATCTCAGTTCTGCACTGCTGTAAACTGCGCACATTTTCAAAGGAAACAATATACTCTGCCATCAAAAAATTTTATAACGTGTGGGTCGCATGTGGCAGAAGGTAACCGAAAAACAATTTCATGCTTTTCTTTGTCGGACAAACAAATAGATGCAAAGCAGTAAGGGAATTTCCCACTTTCGATTTTCAATTTACCTCCGCCTGAAACTTCCGTCAGTTCAACTTCACTGAAAGCACGTGATTAAATCTCGTCTGTCTAAGACATATGTTCATTGAAAGGCGATACATTGAAATATAGCTTTTTTACGGAAACACAATCATTTTATGGCTCACAATAACAACTTTTCAAGTTTCCATTTTGCGGTTTGCTTCTTACCGACGAAGATGATCGTTTAATTTCATCGCATTGATTTCTGATTTCTAAATTGGCGGGTGGATTTTACATTGAAACAAAATTTATACATTCATTCCTTAGCACTCGTGTTCCCAGTAGCCGGGACATTACGCATGTAAGAATACAGCGATTTTATTGATAAAATAAACTACTACTGTGTTCCATTCAAAACTCAAACTTGTACACACAATAAAGTTTTCTCACTCTGACAGCCCTGTCCAACGTTTGCGGATAATTTTGAACAGAGATTAGTTTTCTCCGTTTTAGCCTTCCGTCCACACAAACACGAGGTTTTCAAAAAAGGTCCCCAGAGCAGCCAGCCTCAGGTTTGTCAATTGAAGTGCTGTTAGGAGTTACCAACGTAAACTAAGGACCTTTATTTTAACTCGAATTTTAGAGAAGCTACGCTATACCTAATATCTTCGGGAAACAGATTAAGATCCCTAAAAACTGAAAAGAAAAAAATACACAAAAAAATAAGACAAAAATGAGTGAAAACTAATCAAACGTATGGAGACTTTGTATACGTCGCTTAAAATCATTATAAGTACAGTTCCGTAATTCGTCGGGAAGATCGTTCCTTGGCTGATATTGCGGAACCGTAACATTACATTAAATTTACTATTAACTTTATTACAAACAGTAGATATGTGGCTGTCAAAATTAAGTCTATTATCTATAGTCATTCCGAAAATCTCTAACTCTTATTTCACTGGAAAAGTAGAATCTGTGGTCAGTTTGACCAATAATTAAAGCTTGGTGTTTCTTTGCGTTCACGATCATGCCGTTTTGGCTGTACCATTGGTTTGCCTTTTGGACGTCATTACAAATGTACCTATCTAGAACAAGTGGGTCCACATCAGAGTGGTAGATCTGATGATCATCGGCGTAAGCGTTTAATTTAGTTTGCGTAACATGGAAAAACAGATCATTTATAAAATAATGATCAGTATGGGTCCCAAAACGCTACCCTGTGGAATTCCTTGTTTAACACTTTCCCAGCTAGAGAATGCGTCCCCAACCTTAACCATCTGAGATCTGTCTGATAGGCAATCTTTAAGAAGGGCACAGCTTTCCACGTCTACGCCATATATAGGCCTTGAGCTTGGCAAGAAGTAACGGGCGTTGGATGACATCAAACGCCTTGGATAAATCCATGGAGACCACTGCAACCAGCTCTCCTCCGTTTGGCATCCTCCTCCAGTCTTCGGTCATTTTTAGCAAGGATGTCTTGCAGCTATAATACCTCCTGTAAGAGTTAACAAAGTCCGACAAGATTGCTCGATAGAAGTCATCAATCTGAGAGGCGAAGAGTCTTCCAAAACAAGAAAGCGACTCAATTCTACCACTCTTATTTTGCTTTTCTTTGCACCAAGGCTTTCAGATTATCAAGCTGTTGGATCTCGAAGCCCAGCAGATGTCGCTCACATTTTTTTCTAACTTCACTCTCAAGTTCTCTTGCCATACTTATGTCACCTTGCCGATAGGCCAGCAATGATTGACCGTACATGAGGTATACTTTGCTTCTTTCTGCAATTGGCTCAGACTGCTTCGCAATGCCGTTGAAAATATTCTCAGCAATACTGACATCTAATGAACTTGGCTCTTCTTCTAAGATGTCATGCTGGTAATAGCCTAAATGAAAAAGTGCCTTGCGAATCTTGGCTTGAACAACTGTCACACTTTTATCGACAGTAGCTTCTTCACAGAAATGAAAACATTTATCCAAGTGATGTAAAATGCGTTCGCGATCCTCCTTACTGTTTTTCCCTGACGATAGAATGATATTGGCTTTTGCGTAGTTAACTTCAGCAATGTCCTCATGACACTCTCCATGACTTAGCATCATTTCTGCTTCATCTGCCTCTTTCATGGCTTCATCATCTTTACCACGATCATGTAAAATATACGCTTTGTTAATTTTTATTCGGGCATGTAGTACAACTCTGAAAGCATTTAAAAGAAAAGAAAAGTAAATGGCAAAACGATGAAAACGGGGGTTTATGTAGTGTTTCTTCATATTTCAACAAGATTACTCCTTCAGCTTTAAAGTGAAATAATGGGAGCAAACATATTTCGAGATGGTTTTAAGTTGTCGAAGTTGTCTTTTTGAACGTAAGACGTCATTTGTCAAAACCTCCACGGTGATTGGCTTCGGAAAATCAAAATGCCATGCTTTATGGAAGTCACAAGCTTTGTCACTATTTCGTGAGGTGGTACTCCCAAAATCGCAAGGAGTGTAGTTTACATCCTAGTGTTTTTCCTAACATCAACCAACTTTCAGTTAAATAAAGTGGGCAGAAACCGTTCCGACGTTAGGGCTATCGGCCTAAAATATTAATTCTTGGGCTCTGACATGAAAACTCTCACAAATTCGTAGCCTGCGTAGCTGGTGTATTTTCTTTATGCACGGGGTACTTTCTTGATGGCGGAATCTCGAGGGGTTTTCGCGAGCGGCGAAGCTCCCAAACTTCTCGCGGCTCCGCCGCCAAAAAGCCACAGCGTTCCCCTGCCAGCTACGCAGGCTAACAAATTCGCTTCAAACTGTCTCTCATTCTACTGTTGCTTGGGCACATTCATATTTACAAGTTTCTTTATAATATCTAAGAAACTGCTTTGATTTAACTTACCCATGTTTCGCAGTTAGAACTTTTGGAATAAACCCATTCAGCATTTCTAAACTCTCATCCTTTCTCGAGTGATGACTAAGTGAAAGGGCAGCTTGAATACCGGCAAACATTTGCATATCTACATCGTCATTGAAACTTCGGAGAAATGTGTCTAGTCCTTCCCAACGAAAATTGTAGGACATGGAGCTGGATTCGTTGATCAGACGAATGTATCTAGCGCTCCGGAAAATCGGCGGTTTCGTGCGTGCGGGCGCCAAGTCAACAGGGCTTGAAAATTCCCGTTCTAGCCTTTCCATTCTAAGACAAAACTTTGCAAGGATTTTGCTGTTTTCAGAGTTTGACAGGTTATCTTCTGCTGTTTCGCTTTTTGTCGCAGATATGTTGATTATATATTCTAATTTTTCAAGATGTTTTTCAAGCACAAGTAGACCATCGTGATCTTGCTGAAGCATTTCTTTGTACCTCTCGAGATCTTCCGTTACGAATTCTGTCTCGTTCCGCAACTTCTTCAGTTTTTCAACCAAGGGATCCGAGCTAGTCAGCAAGTTTTCCACAGCTTGGACCACGATATCGAAGTTTCTCTTAAACTTTCGCCGAGAAATCGATGCTTTAGAAGCATGTGACAGCACCGTGTTTCTAACCTCCTTTATATCATGAATGGCGTCGCTTACTAATCTCCAGCGAGAACCACAACGTATTCCGCGTAAAGCTTGAGAGTGACACAACGCAAAAACCAGCGCTGTAACGTCCCATTCCTCGACGTCGCCATACGACAGTTGATCTCTTACGGCTTGATGGTATCCGCTGGAAAATGCTGGATCGTACAGTCGAGAATTTCTCGCTCTCAGTTGTATTTTTTCTTCGTCGAGCAACTGGGAAACGCTGGTTCCGTCATTTTGCCATGGCGTAGAAGGATAAAGACAATTCCATTCTTTTTTAAAAACTTTTCTCAACGCACAAGTTGAGTAACCTATTACACCTTTGGCCAATCTAAAGTATCTCAGTTCTGCGTTGTTGTAAACTGTACACATTTTCCAAGAAAAGAATCGACTGCGAAGCCAAACCGCAAAATGTGAGTTGTTTCTGTCACGCAGCAAACACGTCTAGAGTGAAACAAGAAAAATCTTATCCCTTGTTAGAAGAGAGGAATACGAATGATCCTGCAACACTTCCGTACGATATGACACGCCGAGTAAAATTCCTACTTTTCTGGGAAACACTAGTCCGCTACACAGCCGTGTTTAGTGTCGTCACGCAACACTCCTAGTTAGTGGGGAGGAGCATTGCGTGACGACCCTAAAAACGGCCGTGTAGCAGACTAGGGAAAAACGAGCCCAACAGATTTGTGCAAAGCATTGACGGGCTTTCCCCACTTCGTTTTCGTTTTCATAATTTTGACACCGGGCCAAAATAATGCTCTACCTGAAATATTGTTCAAAGTAAATACTACTGTAGTCTTATTTCAGGATTTTTTTCTTTCACAGCGTGCTTTTCAGGTAAGAGCGAGAATAAAGAGTGTTTCAGACTATAAATAAACAAGTGTCAACGCCAGCACGTGTAAATACTATCCTTTGGAAGGATCAACTTATTAATCATGTAAATTCTTAAATTAGTTATGGATGGTCAACGCGACAGAGGTTTAAGTGGTACACGTTTTTATTGGAAAACAGACTTCAAACGTCTCATCTTGGAGATGAGAAAGGAACCAAGATGAGAAACTAAAAAAGGAATCAAGGTGAAAACAAGACACCTAAGCACGCGACTGACCGAACACAAACGAGCGACGAGGAATGTTGACGTCAACAATCACATTGCTGAGCACCAGTTTACAGACGAAACATCCAATTGACTGGGACTCTGCCACATGTATAACGTATTCTACAGACTACTATCAACGTCTTACTTTAGAAAGCTGGTTTACTAACTTAGAACAAACGCCACTGAATCGTAGCCAACAGTTACCAGCGCCGTACAAACGACTTATTGACGAGATCAAGCAAAACTAACAACGATAAATCGTTATTTAACTGTGACAATAGACGGATCGAAACGCACGAATTACTGATTACGAGTCTTCATAGCCAATAACATCACGGCTTAACTGACAGACGACCAATAACATCGCAACGTAATTGACCAACCAGACCAATAACCAGAGTATAATACTATCAACTGACCCGATACAACTCACTTTCACTCTGAAGATGACTACAGCACAGGTTGTCGAAACGTCAGTCACTGTCAACAACAACAGTCCTATTCAGGACTACGTTCACCCGGACGATCAAATTCAACCTACTTTTACTTTCCAAGTCTTGAAAAAAATTCTGCCTATCGAAGATGTTTAACTTATGTGACTATGTATGTACCAAAGAATTTTTAATCTTAGGAAACAATGAAAGTGGCATGACAACCATGTCACACAGTAATATTCTGAGGAGATCTGAAATGCAGACGTTCTGTTTGAATAATAAAATCGAAATGGAAGGCAAGCAATAGTATATTTTTCTTACGTTACAAGACACAGCTGTGTTTATGTCCAAGGCTGCTACATTTTATATTTTACATGGGATGGTTTTTGGGAAGTAAATGTTACGAAAATTGTAAATAAAAGTTTCGTTATGTAGGACTTTGTTTACAAATGTAACGCTAGTCTGTTTATATATAGTAAGCTTACAGTGAACTTTTACCATGTCCGATCACTCTGAACCCGTTGTTGCTCATGGTGCAATGGCTGATCGGCTGTCCTCAGCTCAGTCCGTTGAAAAGATATCGCTCACTTGTATTTTACAGATCGTGTAATTCTTGCTGCCTATCGTTGCATCGAGGAACATAACCTGAATGTTGACTGCAAACTTCCAGGAATGCACTGACTCTGCTGATCGCTTTCCTTGCGAATCCTATTGACGGCATTTTCTCAAAGCGTCTGCAAGGGGGGTCTGCAATTCCGTCTCTTCATCGGCTTCGTTGGCATTGTAATTGTGGTATTTTGTCCCTATGCATTCACAAAGGAATTAAATTGAATACAAAGGCAGCCAAAAAATGCCTTAATTGCAGCTGTCTGGACATCTCTCTAGTCGCTATAGCCTCTCCTCTCTCTGTTGGTGACGGCTTGTTCTTCGCTGGGCAAAGCGATTTTCTCTCTGCTGCGGGGTTTCCTGCTGTCGTCTTCTTCTTTGTCGCTGAATTTCAATTCGGCGTTCTGTTCTTGCTCCAGAGGAGTTCTTAGCCGGCGAGGATTTGCATCCACTTTTTGAATCCAGGGTTGCTTTTTTGCTTTTCTGGTTCATTTGCATTGAAGGAAATTGATCGTGATTCACCGGTGGTATAAATATTTCTTTCACATACGATGCCTCTAACCATGAACCGGAAATACATAACGATGCGTGACTACTAAGGCCACGCGCGGCTCACGCACTGCTCGCGCACTTCGCGCGCGACGAGATTATAAACTCTATTTACATAGCCGAGTATCAATTTTTATGTCATCTATGACAAATTGTAATTTGGGAGGCCTGATTAACAATAGCTATATAGTTTCCTTGAGGTCCCCTGGCCATTACTTTCTCCATTTTTGTATCTTTGTGGCTAATTAAAAAAGCATTTCTTAAATGTTTGTAAAGGAATTCGACTGTACGAGATTGGAGAGACATTCGATGTGAACAACTACTTCAATGAATATTACAGCACAAAGAGACTCAAGTAGCACTTGTTGGCCTTCTGCCATTTTAATGGCGTCTTGACCAAGCCAAAAGGGAAATGAGCACCACCTTCTATACATGCTATGTATCTAAAGGTATCATTAAATGAGATTATTAATAGTTATAGTAAACTGGGAGATTTTCCTGTTGGCCAGTAGTTGATCGCCTTGCGCAAAGGCATTTGTCTCATTGCCACAGAAGTTTGCCTTCGTGTTTCTCCATTTGAATACTGCTTATCGACAAGTTAACATTAATAATGGGTAGGGGTAGGGAGTTAATCTTTATGCAACTTAAACATTTGTTGTAGGCACACGTGCAAGAAATAAATTTCAACTTGCCACACATTGTTGGCGAAAAGTTGAAGAAAATGGAGCTACTTGTATACTAAGCCTTGTCAATATTAAAATTGAATATCAAGCATTTCTTTGTCTTTACATAAAAGGATTTAGACAGTCTTTCACGGGTGATTGATGCTGGAAAGACCAGAACTGTAAAATGTTGCGAAAAGGCCAAGATTTAAATGAACTTGCTAAGGCCACCTCTGGCCTCTAACGTACCTTCAATTTGTTTAGCAGCTGTTGGTGAAGTTCATATTCAAGAAATGGTAAGATCTGGGAGAAAAAAAAAATTAGGTCAAAACACTTGATTATTATTATTATTACTAGCATTATCATGATCACTAATAGTAGTGGTAGTGGTAGTGGTATTGGTTGTAGTAGTCGTAAAAATGATAGTGGTAGTGGCAGTGATAGTGGAAGCGGTAGTGGTGTAGGTGTTGGTAGCGGTAGTGGTAGTGGTGATGGTAGTGGAAGTGGTGGTGTTAGTGGTAGTGGTGATGGTAGTGATAGCGGTGGTGGTGATAGTGGTAAGGGGTAGTGGTAACAGTTGTGGTAGTGGTAGTGGTGGTGGTGCTGGTAGTGGAAGTGGTGGTGCTGGTGGTAGTGGTGGTGGTAGTGATAGCCGTGGTGGTGGTCGTGGTAAGGGGTGGTGGTAGTGGTAGGGGTGGTTGTGGTAGCGGCTGTGGTATTGGTAGTGGTGGTGGTGGTGATAGTGTTAGTGGTGGTAGTGGTAGTGGTGCTTATAGTGGTGGTAGTGTTAGTGGTAGTGGTCGTGGTAGCGGTAGATGCTTCGACAAATGTAAAGATTGTTTGACAAAGTCACCGCGAGACTAGACGTGAAAAATGGTCTCCATGTTTATTATTCTCAGTGGTTCTCGACCTTGCTCAATGCTTTTTCCCTGGGTTCTCTCCGCTTCCTCTTTCCATAAAAATCGATCGATCGATTCGAGGAACACAAGCTTCAAAGTCGAAGCAGTGTTACAAGCCATCCTCCAAAAAGAAAATCAATTCATTTACTTTGAATACTTACAGTGCTGACAATATCTGCATTCGCTTCACCTTTTTCCTTCTTTTTGGTTCTACACACACTGGAAAAAGAACACAATGTACTGAACCTCAATAATAATAATAATAATAATAATAATAATAATAATAATGAGACCTCAGACCATAGGGTGACCGTAAGACCCCGTGTACACGAGTCCGGACAAAATTTTGAACGCATGAATATTTCACCTGTGCAACCCGTTTAAACGGAGCCGTGCAAATTCTGTTACAGATTGCAATACTGCTTGCCGTTCAAAAGCTTGCACCGTTCCTCGGGTTCCGCGTAAACGAAAGGCGCGGGATCCCTGCAGGTATTCGTCCGTTCACAAAAAATTGTCCAGAACCGTGTAAACGGGGTTTTACTTCGCAATATATTAAACCGGTGGTAGTTTCAAAACACAAACTATTCATTTGCATGGAAATGCTACCGCATGAAGGAAATTTGATAATAAGAAATTCCATCTGCCAGTGCTGGACGACATTCGTATGGCCAATCGGCAGATCAGCAGAATTTTGAAATCACAGACGATGTCAATTCACTAATAGCGAATGTTGCGGTGTACATGATTCTTCACGGTGGGTCGATTCCAACAACTTTTTTCATGCAGTTTCTACCAGAGATATCGCTATTCGATCCCCGAGAGAGAGTGTATTAACAAAATGTGAAAACAATGATTCCGAATGCCAACAAGCAAATTTCCTTTGTTAGTTGACCAAAATTTTCTTGAATCAAAATAAAACACAAGCAGCGACGATAAACATTGTAAACTTGTTTCGTAAGCTAGTCAACACATATTTTCAAAAGTGACCGTTACAATTTATGACAAAAATATATCACTAATAAAGTCGAAATGTCAAGTTGATATAAAAGTGCGTAAGTTTACAATGTTTATCGCCGCTGTTTGTGTTTTATTTTTTCATGGGCTACGATGGCCCAAGAACAAAAGTCTTTAGCACACAATTCTCTTTGTTGGGTAGCCAAAGTTTTTCAACACTCGAAGAAAAGTTTCGTATCTCTGCGCGGTCATGTATGCTATTTATTTCTTCTACACTCTTCAAGGTTCCAAGAAGCTCCTTGAGATAGCCCGACACATGCTTCCTTTGGTTAACAAAGTCAAGAAAACTTTAATTTACCGAGCCTGAAGAAGACATCCTCTGCCAACAATGGGAGTTTCAGCGGGAGGTTCAGTTGAGGAGAATATTACATCTGGAACTTTCCTCTGCCTGTTAATAAAAATAAGAGTACAGTAAAAACCCGCCACAAGAACCTGCATTTTTCTAAGTTAGCCTAAACAGGTTCTTGCATAAATGGTAATTAGGACAAATTTAGATTATTTAGGTTCTTAAATAGGTTCGTATTTTCTGAAGAAAAAAAATAACTAACTGGCCCATTTTAGCTTAACAGGTTCTTAGTCGCGGGTTTTTACTGTACGGTTAACCTTTAAACCTTGAGAGTGATCAGCAAGAAATTTTTGCCACGTACGACTTCCTTTGAAAACCGATTGACTAGAGCAAAGCAAATTCGAGTGAAAAATAGTCCTTTTAGGACATTTTTCACCATCCCGTTTTGCCCCCTTAAAACATTGCTCTAAATACCGAGCACAACACCTCTCAGGGCAAAAGAGACAAGAAAAGACAAACTCAACCCACATAGGGCATCCATACCGGGACTTGAAACCGGGCTGCACTGGTGGGAAGCGAGTGCTCCCACCACTGCGCCACCCTTGCTCTGTAAACCGTCGGTGAAAATGCACGTTTCCAACTTAAATGCACACTAACTAGAACAAATTAAGAAATGTTACATGCCTACAAACTTGACATTTCGTAAGAACCACAGGAAAAGGTAGATCTGCATCAGAGTAAGGAATATGACAGACTGTACAGCCAGGAACTGGAGAACTGTTAGTGTACGTGAGTTCGTCAGCTGCTGTTGCTCTGTGACAAAATAAAAAACAAAGGCAACATTCAAACCTTTACAAAAGCAGGCCTATACGTATATGCGTTATTAACAATGCGTTAGGTCAAAACGGCTGGATATTGGGGGAGTTCTTCTTTGCGTTTTTATTGACCGAGACGAACCACATCCATCCTGACTTTACACTTGGTCATTTTTAATATTATCATCATCATTATTAACTCCATTTTTCAATCCAATCCAAAATTAAACTTAAACTATAACTCAAACTCAGCTTGAACTGGAACTTATATTAGATCTTGAACTGAAACTCAAGCTAGTTGCTCAAGTTAGTTTACTCACTCATCCTGTTCTGAAGTATCCACAATCAGTGGTTCTGCTACTGGTGACATCTGTGGGACAACGCCTTTTTCAAGAACCGGAGCTACATACAAAAACAAAATCAAAATACTTGTAACTCTGAACAATAAAAACCTTAACCTTGAAGAAGTGTTTATTTCTTGATTAACATTGTTAAGTTACAGTTGAAGCTACAATAAAATGGACAATAAAAACGTGCAACTTGTTTGGCAACATTGTTACAAAACGAGTTGAATAGCGATGTAGCTCGTTTTACCACCAACGCTAGAACCTGTCTTGCTACAAGTAAGCTTGAAAGGGTTTTTTTTCGTAGGTGTAAAACGCGCAACATCGCTTTTCCGCTCGTTTTGCAGCAAAGTCGCTGAACAAGCAGCACGTTTTTATTGCAGCTTTTTATAGTCAGAAAATGGCTTATCTAAGAAGCTTAGGAATAAAAAGTCAAGTCAAGTTGTCATTGAGGACTTTGATCATGATCGTTCTTTCTTTGGGTTTAATGGTGCACCAAACTTTTTTGTACATTTCGTTGCCATCAACGCACGACTACGACGTGAAAATGCCTAATTTCACGTTGTATGAGTTTGGACAAGGTTCTTAGGCATTCAACTCCAGTAGCGATCGCCTTCATCTGACAAAATAAAGGTACGGAGAAATGGGCATCAAAAAACATACAACTTGTCTTGCAACATTCCTGCAAAACGAGTTGAATAGCGATGTTGCGCATTTTACCACACACATCAAACCTGTCTTGCAACAAATCAGGTTGTTAACAGGTTTGAACGCGTGTGGCCGGTAAAACGCACAACATTGCTTTTCAACTCATTTTACAGTAATGTTGCAAAACAAGTTGCAAGTTTTTTGTTGCCTGTTTTACCAAAGCTTAAGTGAGCTGGAACAGTCGAGATGAAGATTGAGAGGAAAGGCTGCGGCTGATTCACTTTTTAAGCGATGTTTTCGCCGCTGTCGCTGTCCTCCGATCTAAGGTACCTAGTAAGGGTGCACAAACAAACCACATCATTTTTACAATTCCCCAGGAATTGCAAATTCTATTCTGCAAATTCCCTTCAGTTTCTCGACAGATTATTTATATTACTTACAAAGAATTCCGCCATGAGGTGTTCCCGTGAGTTCGGTGGTAGCCAACTGTAGGTCAATACATGCGGCTGTTCCTGACGCTGATAACACTATTAACTCGTCACTGAAAGAATGAACGAGCTTCGATTAAAAAGCAGGTCTCGTAACAACTTCAACTTACTCGATATGCACGGGGTACGCCATAACAAGCTGCAAGACTGACCTCATGTAAGGAGCAGTTTTCACTTAGTTTTCATAATACAATCGAAGCTCCCGTACGCGATCTGGCTTGGGAAGTAGATAGTGTCCGTAACGACAGCTGGGGAATTCGGCCATTATCCGCCCCTCCCTCCGGGGAGGGGGGAGGGGGTACTAGCAGCGTTTAAGGTTGCCCTTAAGACCGGGTCGGTGTTGTTTCGAGCTGCACGATGGGACTCTTTTGGGGAACGAAATGGACTCAGTCTCACGGGTTCCCTTAAAATGGCCACCCCATTTGGGAACCCACACCACATATCACCAAGGGATCTCTTGATCCCGGGGGGAGAGGGGGGAAATCCCATAAGAAAAGGGCGTGGATACTCGTCGGCAATTTTTGAATTAATTTCCTAAACGAGACCAATCTGGGCGTGGCTCAACCTTTTTTGACCCTAAAAGATCATGTAAAGAGACCATTTTAAACTTTGATTACTTGAATCGAGCAAATAAATTAAACGAATTGAGAATATGTAATTTTTAAATATTTCTCCGCGAGCAACCCTAAATATAACGGCGTTTTGTCAAGAACACCCTAAGTGAGACCAAAATCCTCAATTTACACCCCTTAGCGAGACGACAAGCTTCCCCGCCCATTTCATATGGGAGTCCCTCCCCCGCGGGCTGTTGATATCACATATCACTGTTGAATAACCCACACTCGATATATTACATCCGTGGCTTTAGGGACAAAATTGCAAATTTTTTAAAACTCCATTGTCTAGCAATTCCAAGAGAGGGTTGAACAGGAAGAAAACCAAACCAAATATAGAAAAATGACCAGAGAGCCTTGGAGTCACGTTAGATTTTAGATATATCGAACGCGAGCTATGGCCTCATGTAATAACGATCATGCGTCGTACAAAGAGAACACTCAAAAGCTGGCTTCACTACAAAAGTCATAGACTATCGGTCCTTTTTATTGATGCATGTAATGACGAATGTTGATAAATTTGTCTAGTCCATGGTACGGCAAACAGTACAGGGACTAAGTTTAAAAAATGGTGATATGCGGGGAGTTAAATATCTAGTATATCATAAATGGAACAAAACAAAACCTTTATTCAGCTTTTAATATTAATGCGAGAGTAGAATTTTTAGGGAACAAAATGTGCGACAA